CGCAATCTCTTTATATCCTTGATATAGCGACGCGATGACGTATGGTGCATTTACATTCCCTAGCACGCACAACAACAACACCACCACCACCACCACAAACCCAATAGGTGTGTTCGACTTGAAGCAGACCGATCGGTGTATGACGTCAAAATACCGCGAGAGTGACTTACCCATTATTTACACTGCACGTGTTTGCAGTGCGTTACGGCTCCGACGCTGCCACTCTAGTCAATGTTTGTGTTAACACCAGCAGAGCCGCAGTACGTTTCAGAAGCGGTCCAGAAGCGGCTCTCTGCGCCGCTTCGCTAAAGATATGCGCCTCGCCTATTTTTGACGGTAAGAGTGTGCGCTCGAATATGCTCTAGAGCCGCTCTCGCGATACTTCGATGTCATACACCGATCAGTATGCGCAGCGCTGCTTCAAGTCGAACACACCTATTGGGTTTGTGGCAGAGATGTTTACAAGTCTTTAACTTGGAGTCCGAGTCAAGTCTGAAGTCTTTGTTGCTGGAGTCTGAGTCAAGTCTCGAGTCTTTGGTCACGAGTCCGAGTCGAGTATCAAGCCATTTAATGGCTCGCTAAAAATTCCTATTCAGAATCCTCATGTATTGAAATCTTCCTATTTGCTGTTTTATAGGCTATAGACAAAATATATGATCTATGATGTTTTTTTTGTTTTTTTTTAAATAGGTGTTAAGATGTAAGGTTAATGTACATCCAGCCTGTTACTTATATGTTTTAATCCATTACCATGTTCAAAACAGTTTTTCTGTAATCAAATTCTATAATAAGAGTCCTATCTACCATGACACATAAGGAACTATGTGACAGATATTACAAAACCATAGAGTGTACGCTTGAATATGCTCTAGAATCGCTTTCGCGATACTTTGATGTCATACACTGATCAGTCTGCGCAGCGCTGCTTCAAGTCGAACACACCTATTGGGTTTGTGGTGCTGTTGTTGTGCGCGCTAGGGAACGTATATCCGCCATACGTCATTGCGTCGCTATATCATTGATATCGCAATATGACACTTTTTTTATCATGTAAAAATTTATACCGGTATTATCATGGACGTTATGATATGGCACACCCCTATGAGCATCACTATTTATTTTCAATATTAAGTGTTAGTTTTCCCATAGGACTTTTCATTCATTCGTTCATCTTCAAAAGACAGATGATATTTGTAATTAAAAAAAAAATGAAAGTTATGCACATAAATATTGTAGAGCACATCTAAAATGGTAAACTGACTTCATGGGTTCCTGTGAAAACTCAAACATGCTTGCTTGACAGGCAAAATTCACTGGTTCTCACATGTGAAGCTTACATTCACCAAACTCGATGTGCTCTCTGTATGTGTATAAAAGAATAAAAGCCTAAATTAAATCTGTTCATCATATAAAGAGATCATATGTCTTAAAACTTGGATTAAACCACTCGATTCATATGGATTAATTTTACAATGTTGTCATGAACTTTTTGACTTAAACTTAGAATCAAGTTTTGGCTGTGTGGAGGGACAGAAAAATCTTAGGCTTCATTAAAATATCTTCACTCATATTTCAAAGATGAACTAAAGTCTTATGAGTTTGAAATGACATGAGGGTGAGTAAATGATGCCAATGTTCATTATTGGATGAACTAACCCTTTAATATTCTCCTGTCCCATCTTAATATGCAGAGACAAATGTAAGAAACCCATTCATAGTTTGACTTTCCTTAATAATTATCAAAATGCAAAGAAGCGCTATCAACCCGACATGGCTCAACCAATGGTGTGCGTTTGGAGGCAAAACTATCCAGAACTATCCTGCCATTCAAAACAAATGATTGCTGGTCAGTTCAAAAGGCTGTGGATGTGAATGCCCCATTCGACTGAAGATCTGAAGACTGTTCTTGTAAAATACCATCAGGAATGACACTTATCTGTGTATAGAAACCACCAGGGGTACACAACCCCAAGGACCTGCCTCCCTGGTACAGAGCTCACAGGAAGGGCTGAACGATTAATTGCATTTGCGATAATATCGCGATACGAAAAAACGCAATTTTTCAATCGCAGAGGCTGCGATTACACACGGTCACGTGACAAGCGAGAGTAAAGAGGTGTGTTTGACGTGTAGACGTTAATAAACCATAATTTTACAAGGTAGCATTTTTCGTTGTCGAATTGTACTACCCACTGTTTTAATCGGAGGTAGCAAAATCTGACAGGGTAGCACAAATCAACAGAACACCAGACACTACAGTTGACGCGTCGCGCCGCAACAGCTCTACACTGGACACGACAAAGCGACTGCTGCAAATCATTTTAACTTTGTGTCAGTACGTCATAAATAGAACAAGGCATCAGTTTAATGTCGGGTTTTGTCGTGTCGCATCTCGCCGCATCCAGTGTAGACAGCGTCACTGATTATAATGGTTCCACTGTATTTTGCCACTCGCGTCCAGTGTAGACACGGTGTTTAATGATAACACAGAGAGAATAATAATAATAACAGTTATTCTCTCTATGCTATTTTTCAATGTTTCAAGTGATGCAGGTGAAGATAAGATAAGATTTTTTAAGATTTATTACAGTGACTTTGAATTACCTAGTGTGGTAAAGCAACAGATTTACATTAGTCTACTATGTAGCTAATCTAAAGTAGAATAGTAACAGATCTACTTTAGTTTGTGTGAAAAATCGCAATTAGATTATTTTCCAAAATCGTTCAGCCCTACTCACTGGTACTCATTGGTATTTTGTGGATTGCATCAGTCAAAGTGGCTTGTTTTTCCCAAAACATCTGTGTTTAGTTAAAGGGGTCATATGATGCGATTTCAAGTTTTCCTTTAATGTACAGTTTTTGAAAAATAATGTGTTTTTTGTACATTAAAGCATGTCAACATATTCTGTTACACCAAATACACAAAATAATGATCTTTAAAAAAGCATCATATGACCCCTTTAAATCAAGTCGAGAGGTCAGTAAGGCTTTCAGCATGAGTGACAAACAGGTGGTATTTAGTAAGGGGTTTCAAAGCCGAATGGGAATTCATCATTTTATTTTTAATTCTTCCCAGCTTGGATACTATGTACTGATGAAGCAACCAGTTGTATGTTTGCAACTGACAAAAGTGCTCAGCTAAAATTCAAGTCCAATTTTGTTTGGATCCGGCTCTTAAATAAGCTCTGAAACAGAAGACTGCTCTGTTTGCAATCTGTCCTGTAGTACTCAACTCATAAACGGTTTGTCGGCAGAGCCGAAGAGACACCATCGCCAAATGTTTGTGGAAGTTCCTTGTAATCCATCTGTTGCATTAGCAAAGCCTCAAGTTTGTTCCCTCAGAGACGATTTTCTTCCTCTAACTTACTCTGCTAAACTCCCCGCGAGACGTTCGAACCATTAAATGCTCTGGCAAATTAGTATAATTGGCTTATTTGTATTTCATGAGTCACATAACAAACATGTCAGGTTAGGATTTAATTTGTCTCTCTGTTGTGCAACTAATATGTGCATTGTGATTCAGACAACGGGCGAGATCGAGAGAACAGGAAGAGGGTTATGATTTAGAGCGACACACCGATGAATCACAGCACAATAGATCCATGCTAATCTATCATCATAAAACACAGGCGCACCAGACCGCAGTCCCACGATCCTCTGCTTTTATGATCACACTCGCAGATACAGCATATCTACATGAATTACACTGCCTCATGAAAGGTGTAGGACTGGTTATATCGGCCGGCACATTTCGTCAACCTGTGACAGACTGTTGCGTATGAGCGATTGATATTGATTACTGCAGTTGACAGCAAAGCGTGCAATTACACTAGGACAAAGATGCACTTCAGATAATCTTTGGGCAGTTAACGTGCTACAGATTGCTTGTTGTCATTATCCATCAATCCTAATATGTCTTGCTTAAAGGGTTCACCCTCATGTAGTTTTCAATCTGTGTAACTTTATTTTTTTCTGTGGAACATGAGAGAAGATATTTTGAGAAATGTCTCAGTGTTTTTGGGTACATACAATGGAAGTCAATGGGGATCAGTGTTGTTTTGTACCCCATTGACTTTCATGTCAAAATATCTTCTTTTGTGTTCCACGTAAGAAAGTAAGTCATACAGGTTTGGAACGACATGAGGTTGAATTTTTATTTTGGGGTAAACTGTTCCTTTTAAATAAAACATACAGAGGGTGCATTGAAACTAAAACGGACTGTTTTTGCTTCTCAGGTAATTCAATCTAATTTCAAGGATGTTTAGATATTTCCCTGAAGCAACAAAATATTGATTTAGAAAATGATTTGCACTGTGCAGCTCACTCTTGGTCTTGCATGAAGGTCAAAGGTTAACATCTGTCAGCAACAGATCATTGCGTGCTATGCCAAAGCCGTCCGGGATTAGATCCAGACCCCATCGTTGCATCGTTATAGCCACTTGTTTTTCCACCAGCACACATGCTCAGACACACACGTCCAGCTCGGCACTGTATGGATTAACCCCATCTAAGACAGAGCACGATAATGATAAAATAACCACATGAGACTGCAGGGCTCTATCTAATCTAGTCTACAGGCTGCCATGGTTAAAAACCGGACTCCAAACGGAGAGGTAGGCAGAGGTCCATAATAGGATTTACATCTGGGACAGACAAGAGCTCTACAGATATAGATATACAACAGGAACGGATGACTCGCACCTGATGCACACAAGAATCACTTTAAAGATGTGTCGATTGATGGAACAAACACAAAAAAGCACAGTATAGGGAAAGGCTTGACATAACCCACGTGCCCCTTCAATACGTTGTCTGTCTGAACCCAAATAATCACATGCTAAATAAACCATTCAAGCCATTTCCAAAAATTTAATCAGAGCTGCCATTCCATGGAGCTCCATTCATACAGGTGAGTGAAAACAAACAGGCAGAGGAATCTGATGCAACAGTTGTCAATTCTAGAGTGGCACAAAGACAAAGAGTCAGAAAAAACTACTCACTGGAGTCGTCCGAATCGTAGCCTTCCACGTCTGGCTCTTCCTCTTTCTTGCTGGCCACGAGTGCGGTGGCACCGAAGGCTTGGTCCAGGTCGTCCTCATCCCGATTGGCGTCTGCGGCCGGGCCCTCCGACTTCTGGCTGGTAGAGGTGCTCCGCAGGGAGCCGGCGCGGCTGAGGGCCGGGGGAGCTGTGGGGGGGAGACCCCGTGGGTAACGGGGGAAATAGTCAGATATCTGCTTGATGGGCTGAATGGGACCTGGACATACATCAATGGCCATGTGCTCCTGGATGCTGATGGTCGTCTTCTCGCCTTTGCGTTGTGTCATTCATGCAGCCCTTTAGAGGATGTGCCACCACCCCTGAACCCGGCAAAGGGCGGGTGGTAACAGTACAAAAAAAAAAAGAAGAAATAAAGAAAATCAAATAAAAAAAATACAAAAAAATTCAAAAGTCAAATCTTCTTTGATCTGGTAATCTCTTAGTGTCCCTGAAGAGCAACTGAGTGTGTCTTGATGTGTAAGTGCATGTGTGTGTGTGTTTGCGATCACAGCAGTGGGCTACATGAGAGGCTGTGGGCTGCTCCAGCACACTGTGGTCATGCCGTCTGCCTGTGAGCTGCGCTCAGACCACTACAGCACGCTAAGACTGTTCCCGGGATGAATGCATGTGGGAGAGAGGAAGAGAGAGGGAGAGAGAGGGAGGGGGCAGGATTATACGGAGGGATTGGCTGATGTCATTGCTTAGCAACATGACGGTAAACAGGAACCGGGCGCGCGGCTACTTAATTATGCTATTAGTCCATCTGTTAGAGAGAGAGCGGCTGGGTTATCTCTGTGTTCCTCCTCTCCCTTCAGTCTAGCTTCTGACTGAACCGCCGTCGCAGGCGAGTGCGGCATGTGCTAAACTCCAGCACAATTACCAGCAACAGGTGCTAAATGCCTAAAGTCACACGTGCCAGGTTATACATCCATCCAGCAATTCAAATAGTACAATGGGGTAAAAGCAAAAGGTAGATAAGAAGAAATTCATTATTTATAATGCATTTTAATTCAGTATTCGTGATTTACAGATAGTGTAATGCATATGTGCATGTATTAATATTAAAAGGATAGCTCACCCAAAATTAAAATTCTGATATTATTTACTTCACCTCATGTCGTTCTAAACCTTTATGAATTTCTTTCTTCTACAGAACATGAAATAGGAATGACTTTCAATGTATTACAAAAAAAGTATATATATATATATTTATTTAATTCAATTATTTTGTGTTCCACAGAGGAAAGCAAGTCACACAGCTTTGGAACGAGGATGAGTAAAAATGAGAGAATTTCACTTTTCAAGCATAACAGGCTAAAGAGTTAACATTTAGCAACTTGCTGCTAATTGGCTTGATTTGGTTTTCTAATATGCTGGCTTTCAGGCATTTTTAAGAGTGGCAAAAAAAGAGTGGTCTTCAGGGTCACTGTATTCATAACACTTATCTACATGAACTTCTCATAAACTGATTTCCGTGTCATGACAAATAACGACAGTAGAGACATTTACTGGGAAAATTGCATCAGCGCTCTGTTGCTTTATGAAAACTAGCAGGGGGCTATTCAACCTGTCCTCTGCTTTACAGCTATGATAAATTACAGGCAAAAGCCATTCTCACATTTTACAATTGCAAAGATTTATAGTGAAAACAGTGAGTAATCTTGATGCTCTCTCTTAAGGGACCTAGACAAGATGACAATGAAGCGCTCTCGCCTGACGGTGTCGCTTTTAACAAGGGAAGAGGAATGAGGAAAATAATGAATGATGGCGAGGGATATACGTAGGATATAGCATGATGTTATTTAATCATGATTTGAAATGGTCGATCATAATTTAGATACCAATGTTTGCCATTTTCCACATGGTATCATTAGGAGACAAAACCTGGCAATTCATTTACTCTTATAATTAAGGAGTCGCCCCCATGCTCGTTGTAATTCTTCAGTGGAAAATACGTAGTGAGAGCGAAGCTCATTATTTTCTGTCTATTTCCATAATTCCTTCTGGAGATCCTTTCTTTTGTGCTTCCAGAAGACTCATGGTTAAAAAAAAGAAAAAAAAAAAAAAGAAAGAAAAAGGCAGAAAAAAAGTTTGATTACCTCCAAAGAGTGCTTCACAAGAAAAGTAGCACAGCTGCTACCATTTGTCATGCTGATAATGTGCAGGTTATTAATTTATTGATTCTAATGTCTGGCACAGAAACATAGCTGTGAACATAGTGAAGGCTAGAAAAATAGTACACAGTAAATGTAGGCGAGAAGCCAAGTCTTCTATAATCCTAGTTATTTTCCTGTTGAACAATGTACCCGAATGGGGTGCTATTGAACAAGCATTTTATTATGTAAATTTGCTGATATAAAGTCAGCCAGAAAATTGTGTTTAAATTACTTTAATTATGTAAAATGCGATGCATTTCTGTGGTCATAAATTCAAAATCTCATTCATGCTGACAGAATTTTCTACTGCCACAGAAATTGATTCGCACGTTCCAGAAAATATAATTCAAACACAGACGCTACAGGAGAGACACCGCTTATATATTTCTAACGTGACAAACAGGTCTCAGCCCTGGTGGGAAAAAAAGGGCTTAAACCAGTCTAAATGACTGGCTGGTCTCATCTGGTTTATGCCAGTCTTAGATGCTCTCCTAGTCACGTAAACCACCTTGACAAGTGCTGAAACACTCTTTTAAACCAGTGAAACAGATCAGCCTGGTCAGGTTTGAGCTTTCCTTTCAGCAAAGAATGCACACTTCAAAAATGCAAAAATATCTGAAATGCGATATGAAATGTAATGCAAAAATCTGCGGAAAACAGCAGAGCACTTTTAGTTAATTTCACATTTTTAGCTCTCTCATTCTCTTTCTGGCTCTCCACGTGCAATTCATAACTTGGCCTGTCCACAATGGCTCTTTAAAGGCATGGTTCTTAATCCAATCTGGCCGCTGTAATCAGAGGATAAAATGGGTTAGTGGATACTGGCTGCTCCGGCCCTTGGCCGAGATCAAATGTCATTCCTGTGAGGCTCCAGTGTGATGAGGGAACATTTGGAGACAGATACAGACCAAATATGAAACAGGAAGGCCATTCAAGACAAAGTTCATGGGTAGTGACATTTCTGTAAGGTAAAATCCCCCTTTATTCTTGCTGTTTCTCAAAAGAACCATAATAGGCTGATGAAAAGAATATGTACACTGCTTTTTTTTAATATTATTATCAAATTTCCAGACCCTGGCAGCTCATAGTGGTGGTGAGAGATATATATTTTGTTAATTCATGAGTGGAAATTCTTGCCTTTAAATTTTGAAGAGAACAGCTCAGCACTGATGCCGTTATTTCAACTTACGGGATTTGAAAAAATAGAAAGAAAGAAAGAAAGAAAGAAAGAAAGAAAGAAAGAAAGAAAGAAAGAAAGAAAGAAAGAAAGAAAGAAAGAAAGAAAGAAAGAAAGAAAGAAAGAAAGAAAGAAAGAAAGAAAGAAAGAAAGAAAGAAATATATATATATTAGAGGTGTATCGATTCACTCGTTTTATCGATGCATCGATTACAAACCCTGACGATGCATATGCATCAATCTTGAAACATTGACTTTTTAATCGCCGATTTCGGACAGTAATCAATTTAAAATGCTAAGAATCGAATGAATCACTATTTCCATAGCGATTCAATGCTTTCAAAATATATACACATTAAATTACTACAAGCACGAATTAATGGAGACCTTGAACAGTGTTCGTGCCTCGCATCTCTCCTTCACGCGCTCCAGTATTTAATGCCTGTGACTTTCACAGGATTGCGCTCGTGCTCCGTTCATCTCACTGACACATTTTTTGAGCAGCTGATGTGTGATCTCTCCTTAATACTCGTGGCCAGTAATGTTAAAGTGAAGTAGTTTTACTTTTCTGTAGTTTTTCAATGGCTCTCGGTCATACCGACGACATTACCTGAGCAGTCGAAAGCTGCGTATTTATTGCATGGACGGAGCAAAAATGTACGTGTCTAAAGCATACGCACAGTTTCATGCGCCCTCTTGTGGCCTCAGAAGAGAAGCCAAAAGCTTTTCTTCACCCTAACTGAAATTATGCATTTTAAATCGCATTTTCTTTCAGTATCATCATTCACTGATGGAGAGGAAAAGTTCAATACTATAGCATTTTATTTTATGAAAATGAGATAAAAAAGTTTTCACACAGAAAGAGAAGTGATCTTGTGCTCAAAGAACTTAAGACATGCCAGGAAATGCCTAATATGGACAAAGGCATCTAACCTTATCGCTGCAGCTAAGCTGAATAAAAAGCTGAATGAACTGATGAAACATTGTGACATTAAACACAATAAATAAATACAATTTATAAACGATGCAGTTCTAACTGACATAAATAATTGTTTGTAGTATATAAAACAATCATAAAATTGCCATTAGGAAAAATTATAGATAGCAAATTATTGATTATTGTCCAGCAGTGTATTTGATTTCTTATAGCAAATTCAAAGTAAGAGATAAGAAAATAATTCCTTGTAAAAAATAAAAAAAATAAAAATAATACATAGGCTACATACATAAAATTATTGTATTTGACATTTCTGTCACTTCTGAAATGATGGCTACACCCCTGGTGTGACAAAATGTTAGCCTATACATAATACTTTTTTAAAATCTTGGCTCATAAATTTCTACATATGCCATGTCATGCCATAGCATCATTAAACTAGCATATAACAATGGACAAAAGTGTTTTTTTCTCTCTCTAACCTATGGTTCTGTAACCATAAAGGCTTCTGTGTAATTTGCCCCCTGACTAAGCATTTAAAGAATTTAGGGGAAGCATTTAAATAATCCTGTGAATGCACTTAAAGAATGCAGAATCGATTCGAATCGAATCGAATCGTTGTGAATTTGCAAAAATCGTTATTGAATCGAATCGAAAACCTATGAATCGTGAATCGAATCGATTC